GATCCGCAACAGATGCTTCTTTCAGTTGATATTGCAAAAATTGAAGCTGTTTTCACCCCGATAACATGCAAATCGTATAAACTCATTTGCAAGTTGCAAATTTGCGAAACTACTAAGTTTTTTTTGGATTTTTCAAAAAAAGTTGCAGATATACGAGGAATTGCAAAACCAGGGGTTGCAAAAACCGGGGTACAACTGTAATATTTTCAAAAATAACACAGCAAATAACCCAGTGGGTTATTCGACATCTGAAAGTGAGATTCTGGGGAATACCCTAGGTTATTCGCGTAATGCAAATAGGAGCAGCGTAACACCCCCCATGCCCCAATTCTTTATATGTGGACGATAGTACTATACATTACATTGCAGAACGATCTGGGTACTCCCTGTATCTATTTGATCAGCGACAATGAGCATCGATTTATATAGTGACGAAAAAAAAGGATGATGGTGAAAGCAACAAATAGAAACCGATTTGGTTTTTGGTTTTAGAATAGCAGCAATGAATAGCAAAAATAAATTTCATTATAGCAATAACAGATTTTATTTATATTATATGTATCTTTGATAGCAGCAGTAGCAATAATAACAGCTAATATCAAATCTAAGGCTAAAGCTATGGTATGGAGGGGACTAGTAGCAGCGGGTACGGATCCAATAAGAGGAGGAAGCTTGTGGATGTAAATGGCCTGTGCCAGAATGAAAGATGTAGATTCGAAGTGGATGTGGAATGGTAAAAGGGTACGAAGCATACCTGCAAGCTAAACACGGTGGTAAAGGGGCCTGCAAGAGCAATAAAAAGTAAGTATGACGATAATCCCATAAAGTATTTACACAGTCCAACACTCTCCAGTAGTGCTACTAACCTATATTGCGGCACACTATGAAATGCGGTATAAAGGCTAGCAGAGAAAAGGAACAAGCGGACATGAGTAGGTTGAAGAGGAAATGAAGAAAAAGAGAAAACAAATTGAATTGGAAAGTAGGCTTACTTTTCTACCTTCAGGACTTGTAACATACCGCTGCTCTTAACTAAAGCGCAAAGGAAAGAAAGAAACAGTTAAGTGAAGATGGAAAAGTGATCAAAAAGCAGCAGTTAGGAGGGGAGAAAGAAAAAGAAATACTTACTTTAGAAGAGACCATATAATTCTTGACTACAGAAGAGAAACGGAAAGAAAGAGAGAAAAAGAGGAACAACCACAGAGTCTACTTTTTATACCTGCCATCCGTGCTTATTACAATCTGATCAAACATGAACACTCATGCACACTACTGGGATATATAATCAATACATAACGCCGACTCAGTCCCACTTTTTATGCTTCTTACCCCCCCCATCCACCCAAAGGTCGTCGAGCACTTAGGTGAGCTGGATAGGCTTATTGCATTGTCGAAGAAGAGAAAAGCCAGAGATGATTTAGTGCCATACTGACGAGCTGTCAACGAATCAGTTGTTGTCAGCAGCAAAACGATGGATACGTTGCCCGGCTGGGCCAAATAAATTTCTCCTTTTCCTTCTCCTTTTTTTCACCATTCTACAACAGACTTTGGCTCCCAATCTTCTTTGCTTTTTTTCATATATTTCTTTTTTCATTTACATTGCTTTTCTACGTGGTGCCAGCGTAAACACAACAATCCTTTGACCCTTCTCGGTTTTGTTGGGACTGATATGCAACAATGGCGACCCTGCGCCAACAGGACATTAACAGCAACCTCTGCAAGGTCTGGGTGTTAAATAAACTGTTAAATTCAGCATAACGGGTTGCTAACAGCGACTGCTGCAGGTACCCTGAAGGAAAAGTATACAGTATACATGCAAAACATACAAGGAAACGACCTGTACAGGAGGATCGAGACGGAGCCTGAATGTCTGCGCTTGTATGGAAAGCACAATTTGTACTATAGTGCATCAATACAGTAACAAATTTTTATAAACTCGCTTCAAAACTCTCTAACACATCAAATCGTCGTCGTTGTATGTCTGTCATGTTGCATCTGAGACCTTTACAGTAGTTGCACATCGATACAAAGTTCGAAGTTCAAAAAGAAGTTCACCTGCGTCATACAGCTGTGTAATATCAATATTGTAAATAAGTGCTGCATGAAGCAGCAAGTATTCCATCCAAATGAAACTGGTATGGTGCATCCCATTTATAATCGCCAAAAAAAGTGAACTCTAATCAAAGATCAGTAAGTTAATGCTTTGCTTATTTGTTATTTAAATATCATTCTTTAGCATCTTTAGAATAGTTATTGAACTCGGGTTTACTTATTTTGTTTGTAGAAAAAAAAGTTATCAGCCGGCTGCTTTTGCTGGTTTTTGGCAGAGGTGGTATAAATTTGAAACACTGGACTTTATGCCGGATTCGAAGCCAGGATCGTTCTCAGCCAATAGAATTGTGTGCCGTATCAATGTCTTTGCTAGTAAAGTCAATAATACACAGGTATTTTTCTGTGACCAGCCCATGACTGTGCCAGAAAATTTGGCTGTGCATTTTGTGACCTAAGTGACCAGTAAAGCAGATAGTGTACATTGAGACATACAGCCGCAATATGTCTGGAGAAGAAACGGATAAAGAGGTCCACAAGTGCTCTTCCAAAAAAATAAGTCGCGTAGGCGCATAGGCATAGTAAGAGGGACGCGAAAAGGGGTGCACTCATCAGGGGGTGCACTCTAAAGTGTAACGCCTTTTCCTCATGTGTGAGGGTGCACCCTCTCAGCGGGGTGCACCTTCAATCCGCATTAATTTTTCCTTGTTTATATTGGCATGAAATGTAATATGCGCTAACAGGGCTGTACTTGTCTTGTAGTATATAACGTAGCTCGTATAATACATATATGCATATGTAAATATAAAGAGAGAGAGTAAAAAAAACAACGATATTAAAATGATGGATGTAAAATTAGTGTCTATCTGTAAATAATGGTGGTATGAGCTGATGGCAGTTCCCTTTCTGTTTCGAAGTCATCATCATCAAGTGGTGCTCTATCCTGGACATCAATCACCCAGGGGGTGCGCGAATTTTTACGTACTTCCATTTTCAGCGATTGCAGGTAAAGCAGTCGCTCTGGCAGGAAAACCGGTCTCTTTTTTCTGAGCGCGTTCCTTGACTACTTACACTCACTACTCATACAATCTCACTAACACCAACTTTTACGTACATCAACCTTTACGTACCTTAAAACATAGTGTGGGCTTTCTTGCCCTTCCGTGAAATTTAATTATATATACAAAATCTTCAAGGTAACAACAACAACTATGGTTCTTTTAGCGCTCAAGGTATGTAAAAATCATATACAGCAGGTACGTAAAATCGGAAGTATGTAACTCCAAAATGAGAAGTACGTAATTTTGTAGTACAAATATACAGCGCGAGAACTGATTTACTGTAAGGTGCGGACAGGGACAAGACAAGACAAGGACAGAAACACCGGACGAGAATGTGCTAGGTGCTTATAGCAAGAACAGGACAAGACAAGAAGGAAACCAGAAGGTAGGAGACCAGATGGTGAGGGAAGAAACAAGAACAAGGTATAGGGAGGAAACAAGATAACTGACTAATGTTTTATCATTCAAAGACTATGATATATATATAAATATATCTTTTACTATAGAATTTAATGATGTGAATAAATGGAAAGATTGGTATTAAGGTTGATAATTTGGATGATGATGGATGGATGGGGATTTAATATGTGTCATCAACGAGGTTGAGGATGATCACTTACTGGAGGTCGAGGAATGGTCATAACATTTATGTACTTCGGTGGCTAAGTACGTAAATTTTTGCATAAACAGTAAGGTGAAGTACGTAAAAATTCACAGTAGCCATTGCAGCTGCAACGGTTATACAGAGTCAAAGTAGGCTACATCAATGGTAGCTATTTGTATGATCTACTCAAACGAGGCACAAAAAAGACAAGAAGTACGTAAAATTCCTAATAGGAAGTACGTAAAATTTTATAGTACGAATATACAGCATCAGAACCGATATACGTATTTGAGTGGCTAAGTACGTAAAATCTTGGAGGCTAAGTACGTAAAAATCCAAAAAAGGAAGGTGAAGTACGTTTACAGTACCCATCACCCAGGTAACCTTCATATAGCAAGCAGCAAGTGGGTGTTTAATCTGTGCAAACGCTTTTTCTTTATCCTCGCTCGTTATGATTTCGTGCAAAATGGTGATGCCAGGTTTTGTAACAGGGGACGTTTTTGACATATCGATAAATTAGAAAGGTACACGGTGGTGCACTCTCAAATGTGCACCCTAATCGCTCGTTTCGGTGAAGTGGCTTATTTTGACTGGGTGCACCCCCAAATGGTGTGCACCCCTTTTCGTGACACCAAAATCCGGCAGTATGGAACCTCGAACGTAATCAACTTCAACAGGACGGCTCTTTATATTACGCCCAGGTTCCACGCAGAACGAATTCACGTGTAACGCTGATGGCTCTTTCAAGCACAAGCTTTTTTTTCTTGGGCATGCAGCCAAACCTCATTGTTTCGGTGGAAAACAGGTATATGTAGTTATACATCAATAAAGCCCGACTCTTTGGATGAGGTACTTCTCTTTACCATCGAGTTAAAAATGAGGTTGTATGCTGAAACAATGTAGGATTAATACTGGTTCTCCACACATTATATAGTTTCGACTTTCATCCTCACAGCATAGCGATGAGGACGAGGATGGCAACCCGACGCCCGACTTCCCCAGCCAAGAGGAAGAAGAAGAGCTGGATGAATTTGGCGAGTCATCATTGTGGGACCTTGAGACGAGTGATAATGATGAACAAAAGCCGAAGTCGAATCTTTCTTCAGATCATCATATGCATCGAAAAGGAAAATATCATTTAGTGGAAGAAACAGATGAAACATATGATGACGAAGAAATCGATCGTAATGAAGTGGCGTCGTTATATCCTTGAATTGTTGAAAACATTAATTTAACGAAAGAATGTCATGATTATTCTGAAGATTGCTTTGCAAAGACCAAGCCTTAAAAGCTTGATAACGTGGAATGTTGTTAAACAACTTCCCACGGGAACTCAGATTTGAGTGTATATTAATTTGTAACTTCGTCTAGTGAATAGACGCGTCAGTGATCTTGTACAATGATTTATTTACCTCAGATCTGTCCACAACCCGATTGGCACGGAATCATTCCTGAAATCAGTGACCATAGTACTGCAGACACCTCATTTTGGATCTCTTGCTACCGGAAAGGTAAGGGAGGGATACTCATTTGTCCTTAGACCTGTTTTTGCAGCAGTAACTTAACCACCCTCATTAGGTTACACCTCCATTCATAGTAATATAAACGTTGAGCGAGTGCACGGCGCACAAAAGCTAAAAATTCGCGGCGAAAACGAAGTTGATGTGGAGTATATAAACTCGGTAAAGCATAGTGAATGACAAGAGGGAAAGACGACACAAATGCAGCGGCAGAGTAACAAACATCATTCTTGGTATCAAAATGTTGATAGAGAACTTTAAAAGCATCATGTCCAAAAATCGGCGTTAAAGATGCTATCATCCATGCGCCCCGGAGAGAATGGAAATCGCCCCGAAGCAAGCCTGTCAGTTAGTGGGAGAGTTAACGTGTACCTGCTGATTATAATACCAGCACTGACATCCGGATATTTACATGTACCTGTAGATACTTGCAATTGATGCAACGTCCGATGGCCAACTGTACGCTTATTCTTCGGAACAGCATATTGTTGTGGCCGCGCTGGGAGACAATGAAACCCGGGTAAGAGTGAATTTTAGTTTGCATCAATTGCTTTTCTTTACATGTTTTCGTGCTGAGAACTCCCATTTGACACTCGTATTAAGCAGATGATAATGCAAGGGCATCTTGCGGATGTCACTGCAGTTCGCTTTTTTCCAAGCAATCAAGGTACTGAAAGCTAAAAGATCGAAAATGCTCAATACTAAAACATTAACGTATGTTTCTTTTTTTTTGCCTCGTACAAGTACTGTTGAGTGGTGCATCGGATTTTCGAGCCAAAATATGGTCCATACAGGATGGAAGTAATCCAGTAACGCTTACTGGTCATACAGCAGGTACGCTGTAGTTTTATTTTTAGTTTTCGCTGTGCGCTGTGTGTTAAGTATTTTTGCGTTGCATGTATCTGAATTAGGCATTACCGACTTGGCGATTGTATCTAGAGGAAAAAACGTATTAAGTATGTGTATTAAGGTATATAGTAGAGTGAGAGATCAGCCTAATAACTTCTTCTCTTACTTCATCACATATAGCGTCATCAAGAGACGGGACTATTCGTTTATGGCACTGTGGTAAAGTTATCATATAGAATATGTGGTTGAATAATGTAAACATACTGATATATGTTGTACTAGGAACTGGGTCTACGATATCGGTACTGGGTAATTACAACGTACCCGTGACAACAATGACGCTGGAATCGCTGCCAAGCAACTATAAACCTGCTGACCAAGCCCAACTAGGTGCGTTTTCTACCTAAGCAGTGAAAAGGTAGCGGCTGTTAGTTACATAAAAAATCATGACTAATTTCTACACTAGATGAGCGAGAATTCGAAACAGCCGATAAGATGATACTTGTGGGTCTAAATGATGGAAGTGTGAGAGGAATTCATCTCGGTACAAAACAGGAGGTAATAATGACATGTTGCTGAAACACTATTCTTTGCTCAACTCTGTGATTTTCATCGCCCATAGTTCTTTTCGATCCAGTCTGGCTATGACAAAGTGTCTGCACTCAAATATGATACGAAAAGTTCGATATTGCTTGTCGCAACCATGAACGGTTTAGTGCAGGCGTATGAGCTAGTCGACCCGAGCAAACCACGTCTTCAGTGGCAACGATCAGATCATGCAGTGACCGCACTTGTCATCCACCGCACTGCCGACGATGCCTTATTGGCATATGTGTCAAATGGTATGTTGTATCTGCACCAGGAAAATCAGTCATGTTATGCTTAGTAGTAACAAGAAGTTGTGTATCCTGTCTAGCGGACGGAAGCATATATTGCACGAATGATCTCATCAGTGTGATGAAAGACGATGGTGACCTCGCGTTATCCACCGAATACTCAGGAAACGAACTTGAACCGATTAATTCCATTGTGTTAGCGGCAACAGAATCAGATGACAAAACCCAGATATTATGTTGTAATCGCGAAGGATATATCAAGGTTTATTAACAGCAATACACAGAAATAAACTTCCTTTCTTATTAGTAACACATGCAAAAGAAAAAAATGAATGAATGAATGAATGAATCATGAGTTTATTTTTATCTGCGTCGAAATTGGAGTGCTGCTTTGCCCACCAATTTTTCACTTCGTTGCAAAATAGCAGATTTGCGCGGAAGACCTTTTCTATACAAGCTCTGACTGTCCTTTAAGCTTTTGAGTTCCTGATCAAGTGCTGGTGCTCGTGGGCGTTTGCTTAAGACTTTTACTGTGTATTCGCCTACTTGTCGCACACCAGCCTCTGTCCGCCGTTTCTTTCGCTGTTTATTTTCTGTTTGTTCTTCGTCCTGCATTTCGGCGGCTAATCGCTCCAGATCTTCGGCTCTTAAGTGGCCTTTTCTGGTTGCCTTTTCTTCCTCTGCTGCTGCCTGAACCAAAAGTTCTTCTGGCAGCAGTCCACCGTCGTCAATCTCTTCTTCTTGTCCTTCGCCATCATTGCCGTCAGTGTCCTCGTCAAGATCGCTCTGTTCCTGCTGCTTACGCTTTTGTTGGTGTTTCAAATCTCGCTTGCTTCCTTGCTTTTGTTCCTTTAATCGTTGCTCACGTTGACGTCTCCGTTCTTTTTCTTCTGCTGCTGCACTGTTTTTTTTTTATAGAAAACCAATTAGCTTTCAAAGGGATACATAAATAACCCCATATATAAAGTCAACGAGAATCTTTTGTACCGTGCTACTAAATCTTTTTTAGCTTTTTGAGACTGCAAGACGGATTCTTTGGCTGATGTTGCTGATATAGCCTCGGGAGCTTCATCGTCTGAATCCTCTTCTGGATCGTCAGTCACTTGTTCTACGATCGTCTGCTCCTCAGCGATGGCCAAAGCTTCGTCATTTGCAAAGGCATCGCCTTCTTCGTCAAATAAGATCTTTGGCATGTTAAAAAAAAAGTGTAGAGATCTTGAAAAAGCCTTTTTTTTTAAATTTGAAGTCCTACGGTAAGCATTTTGTTGTCAGACACTTATGCCAGATATCGACAGTATCAAATGCATAATATACAATCTACCCTGGTTGATGGTTCGCTGACTAAGGTCTCTTATGACAGTATGCCAACTTTTCTGCCGCATAGAACCTTTCTATATCTGTCACCAGCAGTTTACACTGCCTTGTGCAGAAGCTGCTACTAATGCTTCTGAGGGAAAATGCAAGTATTACGTCAGAGTAACTGAACAACTGATTTTCGAGTCAAGGTGTATACCAGGAGCACATCAATCGCTGGGACCATGGTACTTATAACAGGCATGTACATTAATAAGCACCAAGCCTTGCAAACGCCTCCTTAGCGTTGAAATGACCAAGTGTTCTTGCTATTGTACATAGTGCATATCACAAGTTTCCGAATTTTTGTAAGGGGGGGGGAGTTGAGCAGCTTCTCTTACCCAATGAAATAATACTATTGTTTTCTTGTTAACAGCAACATCACAAGATGAATGAAGATGACCAGCAACAGCAACAGCAGCAGCATGACATTGATCCGTTTTTAAAGCCTGGCGAACTTCGGCAGATTGTCAACAAACTGCCTAGCAGAATTAAGGTACACTATCTTCTTCAGTCTGCGAGTCTATTTTATTTTTCTTACCTTACTTAACTCTTATAAGCATCCACACAGCGACTATGACTATTCAGACGCTGCCAAGTTTGAGACAGAGATCGAAGAGTTCTTCAATTATTCCGAAGTAGAGAATGAACTCAAATCTTACCAACAAGAATACGAAACGAGTGTTGACTTTGGTATATACTGATCTGCTATCTTACAAATTAGTTCCCTTTCTTTCGGATTGGCAGGCTAACAATTACAAACTATTTATGTGGTTTTTTTAGATTGGTGTAAACTGGATGAAGACGAGCAACGACGACATATTGAGCGTATTCTCGATCGATTTGAACATTCCGTACGCGACGAGCGTGTAGCTGCAGCTAAACAATTACTTTGCATAGGACTCGGTAAGAAGGTTATCTTTCATAAAATTCTTGCGAACGCCACATGCCGAAAAAATCTTATACTGAATATTATCGGATCAAAAGGATATTGTCATGGCGATGATAATGAACCTCGAGATCGTGTAGACGTAGCTATAGCGAATACAATGTTAATAAACAGATGTGGCGCTTTGACCGCGGTATTTCAAGCTTTCAATCGTGGTTGCAAAAAGCATGATACATACAAGTACGGGAGATCGACAGAAAGAGAAGCTAGTTATGATGGTCAAAAACTGATGCCTTGGCTATGTTCTCTTGTTACGTATAGTTCTCAAAGCCCAGTAATGGAAGAGTTGAGCATAGTGAGCAATGAAATTGAGCTCTACATTTCAATCATGTACCTCATCCTCGAGGCAGTTCGGACGACAAAAGGATTTTCGGACGATCATGGTAAGACCATGATAAGATGTGGGAGAAGCAGAGGGCAAAGGGTTCAAGCACTCTATTGAACGAGCTATTATACATTAGGAATGCTGGATCCGAGTATCCTACGAAACATTTTCGAAGTGACATCCCAATTACGAGACAAGTATTTAAAGTCTTTCCCTGTCAAAAAGGTATCCTCATCGGCCTCTATCATCATCATTTGTTTGCATATGTTTTCCAGAAAAATTGGCGGCTAAAACACACTTTAGTTGGTTCTTTTATTATGGAAAGCAATTTTAGCGACGTTTGGTGGATTCGAGGAGCTTCAAAACACTAGAACAGCATCAAGGATCTGTCACGGACTGGAGCAGTTGAATGCAGGTGAGAACATTTAAATATCAGTTGATATGAACAATAACTAATGTTGACTACTGCGCTTCTTCTTTGCGATTAGATATCGTCTCCAAATGCACTCCACAAGACTTATATACGTTCCAAAACGAAGCAATCTTAAAGTATCCAAATTATGATCCGCCCGATATCCCACTACCTATTACATCTTCGCTTACTGTCAAGGCATCGCCCAGGCTTGTCAAAGCAATGGGAATATCTAACGCTACAGCTGACACAGAACTCCCTTACCAAACATTGTTCCCACCGAAATCATCTGGAAACAACACCAACAGCACACTTAAAAAACAGCAACAACAAAATTTGGCGTCCCTTGTATGGCCCACTCCGCAGTCAGAATCATTTGTGTTGCCGTTGGATGGACACTCTCCAGGTGTGCCCCAAAGTACCGTAGAAGCTGGAAATTTGTTCTTGAAAAACATGCACTTGTCAGTGGCAAATCAGCAGATCATTCACGAAAGAGAAAAATCTATCCATAAATGGGAGCACAAAAAAGAAGGCTTAAAGGAACTCAGTGATATTTTATCCAAAAATCAAGACAATCAGGGTATTACAGAAGCGATGAGAAAGCGGTTTGAAGCACTGGAGCAAGTTTATGTAAGTTTTCGCATTTTTAATCTGCGGGTTTGGGTTATGCTATAGTCTAATTCGTTTTTTATCTTGTATACATTTCCAGGCCAGTTTAGTTCCTGAACTACAGAATATTGTGATTGTGCTCTTGAAGTTGTTGCTGTCGACAGTCACTAGTGGAACCAATGGTGTTAATTCTAAACAGCAGCAGCTGGCAAACCCGAATTCAGCAAAAGCAACAAACGGTGTAAAAATTGACCTAGAGGACGCTGATGCGAACCGAAATCGTGAGGTCTTATCAAAAGCAATATCAGCTATTTTATTGCTGCTCCTCAAATGGACTAAAGTATCACGTATGTCTTTTTTCAACACTCTCTTATAATATCTTTAGCACTTCGGATTAACCTTTTAAATTTGATGTTTTAGATGTGTTAAAGTTCGAATATATATCACAGCTTTTGGTGGACTCTGGCTGTCTTTTGCTAATTCTAAAAATATTGGGTCTCCAAGAGATAACAACTATTGTCTCCGCAGAAACCGAAATTAATGGCCACAGGTAGCTAAACGAAGAAGCTATTTGATATATCCAAAAATACATAAATAGCCATAACCTGTTTTTTTATTTCTAGTCTATTCCGACGAAATCAACAACAGAACTTGGAATCCTCAGCGGACACTGATGCACCACCTGTGCCCGGACGTACATATACAAACTGTCGTAATATGTTCTGGACGATCAACTTTTTACGTATTCTTCAAATGCTCACTAAAAGAAAAACAAACCGTGTCATGTTATTGGTTCAGTACAAGTCATCGGTAAAGAAAATAACGTAATGGATTTAGTTGTGCATGTTGGACAAAACGCAATACTAAGTACATGTTGTAGGCGATATTGAAACGTGTTCTTAAAGTATCTCATCCTATGATGGAACTCTATGCACTCAAGGTTTTGAAAAGCCAGGTCCCATACCTCGGTCGCAAGTGGAGATCATGTAGGTTCTAGCTTCTAGTTAGAATATGATGTACACGAAAATGGTATCCTTTATATTGACTGGACAATCACATTTAGTGAACATGAAAATTATTTCTGCTATTTACCTACGATGCTATACGGCTCTGCGTGACGACTGGATATCAAAGTCTGACACTGAAGTTGATCTAGAAGACGGCATGGTAAATCATAACTTAGTTGCGTGTTTGTATACAGACTACTAACTAGATATGTATGCTTTTAATTCCAGGTACAAGAAACCAATTTACGGATGCTCATTCGAATATACCACGGACAGCGTTATATACCCGCATTGCTACCACAGCAAGATGAGCCAAGTGGTTTAGACAATTTGACCAACTCTTCACATGATTCCACCACATCTTTGCTGGACAAGTCTCTCCTCGATGATATTGGTACAGAAGACATGGATATTAGCTTGGATGCAGAGTTTACCGAAAACTACGAGGAGTGGTTAGAGAGCAATGTTTATAGTTCCGAAGACGACGATGGCAATGAAGACTGTCCCAGAAACCTACAGGAGGATGCCGTTACGCCGGGAACGCCATTACCATCATCACCTATAATTGCTCATGCCGATGTAGCACCTCCAACTCACATTATCGGCACTTTTTATAAACAAGGCTTAGAGGAGGCTTTCTCTGCAGAGCAATTAATTACGTTGCCCGGATACGATAGTTCTGATGATGATGATGCCCTAGATCCTATGCAAAAGCTGACTCACCGGCTGTTGGCGGCCGAACAACGGGCAATCCAGCGATATACGAATTTATCATTGGAAGACACAAACTGTACGCCGGATCCCACGTAATATAGAAGCAGTTGATTGACATCACTATTATAATGGCTATTATTTATAGCAAGCATGCTTTCCTATAATTATGAATACTTTGCTCGATGATGTATGTATGTATTGTGTGTGTCTATGTGATACTCTTAGCCTCATATCCATATGGAGTGTTTAAAACTGCATTGATCAAGTTCCGCACACTTACCATTTCTGGTAAACGCTAGTTAACTCGAGAAAGTAAAAAGAAATAGAAAGGGAGAGGTTCGACGCGAACCATAAACGTTTCACATGTCTCTCATTGACGATTTCAACGAATCTACGGAAGCCAATTATTTGCCTGCGTCAGCTTCCTATGGCGATGGCCATCTTACACAAAATGGTTATGGGGCCGGTTTTGATACTGCGGACAATGTCAGGGTAAGTCTACTAAATTAGAAGCGAACTTTATTATATAACAACCATAACATTCGGAATTAACATCTGCATTGTGTGTGGGCGGCAAGCTTGAAACAGGCTATGTGTCCATTTCTTCCGGCTTCGGTCAAACAGAACTCCCTATCTTCGCCTTAAACTATGTACAATTCCAGTTACCGGCACGGCTGGTAGATATGGTGGTGTCGAACGATATACTTATTATGGCTGTGGAGACGGCACGTATTTTGCGGATTAATCTGGAACGGCCCTTGGAGGTTGAAGGTAGAAAGAGAGGGTGCTTTTTTCGATTCTTGGCTTATTTTGGAGAAACACAACCACTTTGTCTACTTAATACGTGTGAATGGTGTTTGTTAACAAGATATAATGTTTTGCATATAGAAATTGAGATAACACGGAAACCAGGTGATGGAAAGATAGTGAAGATGTTCTTTGACCCGACCGGCCGGCATTTAATCATCACAACGGATCACGGAGAGAATTTCTATCTGTACGAGAAATGGAGACGTGCGAAACAGTTGTCAAAGCTCAAGGTAAATTGATCACAAGCATGTATGTTAAGCTGAAATGTTGCTAGTAGATTGCTCATCTCTTTTGAAAATTCTAGGGGGTCACGATATCATCCATCGCCTGGAACAAGCAGGCAACATTGACAGACCCTTCGACCCGCGAGATTCTAATTGGTACGCGTAATGGCTTGATTTACGAGACGTGTCTGGAGCCTACCGACGAGTTTTTTCGCAAAGAGGAGAAATATTTCAAACAGGTGTACTCTATCCACGAAAGTACCATGCCCATCACTGGTCTTCATTTTGAACAGTTTCCTGTCAACAATCGCAAATATTTTGCCATGGCAACGACCCCGACCAGAATATATCAATTTGTTGGACACATTGGACCATCTAGCGCTGGTACCTCACGGGGATCACCTAGTTTTGTCGAATCGGATGATCGCGGTGAACGAGCAATGTTTGAAAGCATGTTCTCAAAATACGACGTCAACCCTGGTAAATATGAAGAATATGTCTGATTGATACGATTGTATTTTTGCTAATTGTGCTTATTGTGCTCCTCCGAATAGGTTTCCAAGAATTACCTGGGGAACTCTCGTATAGCGAGCTCCATTTCTTTAGCCGATTCCATGACCTGCAACAACAGGGCGTTGCCCAGACGTTTGCTTGGCTAACAGGTGTGTGTAGAGCTGATATCCCAATGCACATGTGCTTACGCTTTACTGACTCGTCATCTATAGGACCTGGTATCTATCACGGCGATCTCGTTTTCGGATCGCAAAATGTCGGCGATAGTGTCATAGACAATGTGCAACTTTTACAGTAAGTGGATCGAAGGATAAAGTGTGTATCGTAGAGAATATGTCTGCTTATTCACTCGAAAATCTAATCAAATTCTAGATATCCTGCTACGCCATCCGAAGATGAATCGAGTAGATTCGTAACTGAGATCCCAATATCGGTTGCAATTACGGAATTCCATTTTATTCTGCTGTACAAGGACCGAATCAGGGCAGTTTGTCAATTAAACGATCAAATTATCTACGAAGAAATGATCCCGACGGTAAATACTGATAACAGTAATAGCGGCATATCTGGAAAAGAGGAAACTAAAGAGTACGCTTGTATTTCTCAGTCTCAAAACGAAGAAGTCGTTGGTATGGCAGTCGATGATATCAAAAAGACATTTTGGATCTACACTACTTTTTCGATATACGAACTCGGAGTCGAGAACGAGGAACGTGACGTCTGGAAACTATATCTTGAAAAAACGCAGTATGATATGGCTCTCCAATACTGCAAGGATCCTGCACAAAAGGATAAGGTGTATACGGCTCAAGCAAAAGATTATTTTGGGCAACGGCGCTATCAGATGAGCGCAAAATACTTTGCTGAAAGTGCGGTTGCATTCGAAGAAGTAACTCTGAAGTTTGTCGAAAAAAATGAACGTGATGCGCTCAGAATATATCTCGTCAAGAAACTAGAACGATTCCGGAAAAAGGTATATGATCTTTTTTCCCGCTGTTATTTGACCTGTATTTTATTAAACATCCTCCTACTTCTTACAGGACCGAACGCAAAAGACTATTTTAGCAACATGGCTCGTCGAAATCTATCTTTCGAAGCTCAATGACCTGGAAGATATGGCATCCTCTGCTCATTGTACATCGGTTACTAATGGCAACGGAGAAGTTGAAACGCCAGCCAACAGCTCGGCGGCATATTACGAAGAACAACTCTCTGAAATTAAGAGCGAATTTAAGGACTTTTTGGAGACATACAGCAATGTTTTGCACAAGACCACTACATACAAGTTGATTTCAAGTCACGGGCGCAGCAATGAGCTTTTGTACTATGCATCTCTGATAGGTGACTGTGATCGCGTTATCAGTCACTGGATTGTTCAAAGAGAATGGCAAAAAGCACTTGATGTCCTCACACGACAGGTAGAATCGTTATTGCTCCTGGAAATATGATTATCAATTAGGCAAAAATGAAAATCTTAACCCTATTATCATTCTATAACTAGGTGGCAGCCGAGACCTTTTACAAATTCTCACCGGTGCTGATGGAAAACGCGCCTCGTGAGACTGTCGATGTATGGATGCGTCAGCCAAATTTGAACCCACGTCAGCTTATACCCTCCCTTCTGCGCTATGACCACTCAAGAATATCCAAAAAAGTTACTCAGGTAATACACCGTATGGTTTCCATTTATACTAGACAAGGTCTCTAATTTGCACTGTGTAGAACCAAGCAATCCGCTACCTCTCGCACGTAGTCTCCACACTTGGAAACACGGATCCTGCCGTTCATAACCTATTACTTACATTGTATGCTACTCAACCAACTGAAGATGAAACTGCGTTGCTGACGTTTTTGAAGAATGAGGTAAATTTCAATTCGACAACGATACTTATCAGAAGAATACCCCTTAACAATCATTCTAATTATGTTTATAGGGTCGTGAAATGCATTATAATCTTGGTTATGCACTGCGTCTTTGCAGCCAAAATGGCCGTACTCAGAGCTGTGTACATATCTATAGTCAAATGGGACTATATGAAGAGGCTGTTCAGCTTGCTTTGAAGGTATAACAAGACCGAAGCGGAACTAAAATGGATGGTTTTGTAGGTACTAACTATGTATGTGAACGGTCAGCACCACGATTTAGAACTTGCACGCATCAATGCAGATAAGCCTGAAGACAATGATGCTCTTCGAAAGAAGCTTTGGTTGAACATTGCGAAACATGTAGTTCAAGAAAACAAAGATATCAAAACGTAAGGTTCCATACCAGCAGAAAGATATATTTTTCTTAATAACAGGAAAATTGTTTTATTTTTCCGTTCTTTAAACAGTGCTATGGAGTTTCTGCAACAGAGCGATTTGCTTAAGATTGAAGATATCCTTCCGTTTTTCCCTGACTTCGTGCTGATTGACGATTTCAAGGTAGGCAGTATCAATATGATTTTCGATATAACTCTTGACTGACTTCAAACGATACATAATTAAAGGACGAGATTTGCCAAGCTCTTGAAGATTACAACATTCATATCGAAGAGCTGAAAGCAGAGATGGATGAGGCTACTAAGAGCGCAGAGAGCATTCGCTTGGATATCCGAGAACTTAAGTCAAGGTATGGCTAACGTAGACTAATCACTTTAAGGGAAAACTGCTCGTCTCACCGCCATTTTCATTTAGATTCGCATTAATTAATGCGGTGGAGAAATGTTATATATGCAACTATCCTCTCTTGACACGTCAGTTTTACATTTTCCCATGCCAGCATGCATTTCACGCCGACTGTCTTATTGATGAGGTATGTGTTTGTTGCTTTATACAACTAAACCGCTCAACAGCAAGCTAAACTGGCTTGCATATGTTGCAGACCACAAAGTACCTGTCGACGAGACAAATCCGTCGACTTGCGGACTTGCAGGAACAGCTTTCACGAGAACTGAGCAGCGCACGCAAAACGACACCAACAAGCATGGGAACAACTGCAAAGCTCATGAGTGCAGCTGCTGGTAATATTAAAGGAGTCATATTTCCTGGGGATGCTCCAGCGCTTGATGGGGCACAGAATGACCCACGTTTGCTGGCTGGGCACGCCGAGCAGTTGAAGGACGAGTTGGATGAAATTGTTGCCAGTGAATGTGCTTTATGTGGAGATATCATGATCAAATCGATCGATCAGCCTTTCATCGCTGATGATGATGCTGACGTTGTAGCTTCTTGGACAGTATAATATATATTTTATCATTTATTAAACGCGCAATGTTAATTTGTGTAATGAGTGGGGGGTGGGAAAGGGTAAAGAGAGGATATTGAATACGATAAGTTATACAAAGGTTTGGGGGATTGGTTGCGCACTCAGAATTCCCATTTATGAAGGTTTTCGTCCATGAAAAAATCAACCATGCTCTTGACCTTCGTACCACCTGGTGTCTTTGGTCGTGTTTCTTTAATTTTAAGTGCTGCTTCGGGGGAAAGACTCTTTCTGTGTTGGTTTGATGCATTCGCTGGTCGTGTATGTCCAAGCGATTCAAAGCGAAGCCGAAGTGAGTCGACTTCAGGTGTTTCTGGACGGGGTAACGAGGATACGCTGTTTGGTGAAAGCGATGCTCTGAGTGCAGAGTGCTCAGTAGCGGGTATAGTCGAAGTAGTGTGATTTGTAGCAGCAGCAACTTCAGCATCGTGATCACTTTCCGCATCATCGGCATCTTGCTCACTTGGAGCGTGGGTTGATTCGGAAGGTTGCGATTCACCGAATAACAGCGATTCATTCGATGTCGGTTTCGTTATATCCGTTATACCTGGCTGTAGAAGGTCGCTTGAAGCATCATCCTCATTGATATTTCCCATCGTTGCCAATGTTTCTTGCTCTTCCGACAGCGCAGAAGTAGAAGCTGAGCTGGATTTGCCGCCCAGGGTGGGTGAAGTAACGGTATTGTCAACAGTATCGCTTGCTGTAGTGCTTGTTGTTGCAAGGGTATCATCATTATCATTACTTTTGTTCGACGTTTTCAACACCGTTCGACGAGTAGCCTATAATACAGTTACATATAGTTTACTTGAATTGTTAGGAACATGCCTGTATTGTCACCGATGTGAACGCAAGAATTTTACCGAGGTATTCTTAGGTTTCTGTGCTTTCATTGCTGTCGCAGTGTTATTATCTTCTCTACGTGACCGTGGAATACTAGCTTTGTTGATTTCTCTGGCTGTTTTTTGAGTTAGTTTAGGCTGAGGCTTGCCTCTGGAGGCCGTAGTATGCCTTTGAGTAACACGTGTTTGTTGGGATGGTGTACGTCTTTCCTCTGCAGTCTTGTTAGCTGTCATCGCTGAAGTTGCTTTTCGGGCTGTAGCAGTCGGAAGCTTTGAACCTGTTGCAGCAACAGTATTCTTCTGCTTGTTGGCCAGTTTGCGTATCCATGTAATATCTTGCTCAGCAACAGCTTGCGAAGGACTACCGTAAAGATACTTTCTCTTTGCTCTGTAAAATAGCAATAATGAGTATACGGAGGTTCTTTAATGCTTATAAAGGTATACAACAGACGTAATACATACGCATCATGCTCGTTGATAATATCCAGCCAACGTGCAGCAACATCTTGAGCTTCGAGCACCAATCCTTGTGCAGGTTTACTACAAAGGTTTGGGCAGGCCTGTGTAAGTAAATAGAACGCCTGAACAGATATGTACCTCAGTCAAACAAACATACCTTCCCAGGCACGCTCTTAAATCAGCATTTCTGGCCGTGAGTTCTTTAGCATCAGCAACTGTAAGCGCAATTTGTTTCTCAAAAGTAATGCTGATTTCAGCATCGTTGAGCAGATTCATCAACTCATTCTTCCCACCACGAATCACGGCGAATGTGCGCTGTGTTTGACTGGTATCCGTCATCTTTGAACAGATGAGTTATCCACAACTATTTTCGAGACCAATTAGATGATTTTCTAGTGGATTATCGATCAGGAGAATTCTGTCTCACCTTAATGTCGGGTACACAGTTAAAAGAGATGGTGTGTTGCTGCGCAATGGCAACCCAAACTACCAAAACGTCGTGTGTCACGAAGAGTGTGTGGGTGAGGGCTCGAAACCGCTGAGTGCCAATTGGAAACGCGAGGGCGTTTGACATTTGCCCAAATGTGAATGGTATATATCTTAAATGGCTGCACTTAACAATTGTTTATTAATATCCCTCACTTATTCCTCGTCACAGACCAGTTCTCTTTTCTTTATGATGAATTTTTTTTTGAAGGTGGCATCTAGAAAAAAAGCTATATCATACGCTATCACCAATGCATAAGCGTTTCCCTAATTGTATCCTTCTTACGCCCGCTCTCCTTTCTCCCTCGATTACTAACCCACTAAACTGACTGCTGTTCCTATCGCAGCTAAAAGAAAATGCAGTGCCTCCTCAAGAGAGCATTTAAACTAATTGAAATGCATACAGGTATCAAGGAGATGATCAAAGAAGAAGGTATTGCGGATGTATTATTGAATGAGGTCCGTAATTAGTGGTGGCAAATAGGACCTTGTAATTTTCGTAATGTTCCGGATAAACTCTTTAAAGATCCTTATCCTATCCGAGATTGAGTATACTTGTTCTTCCAGGCTTGATACGCCAATTCACAGTGTTGTATAAGTTTCTCAGCGTCCATAGGATCGTAATCTGAAATTGGTTCGGCTTCAGCATAAGAAACGCCGCGCCAGCTTGTAAGCGATGTGTATCTGCAAAGGTAGTTCAGAGTTTTTAGTGGCTGTAAAGCAACAAAAGCATGCGCGACAGCCCCTCGATATCCTGTGATATTCTGTGAAGTAACACCAGCAAATCGAAACTATATACATTCCAAGTTAGTAACGCGTAATGCTAGTAATACGCATTTAAGATATGCGCGCTCTTCCATAATGCACTCACAGCATAGTGAATTAATGTTCGAAGTTTGGTTATCCAAATTGGCAGGTTACCAATCGAGCTTGCTACTACTCCAGGACTCGTTGAAAAAGATGTGATATTTTGCTTTTCGTTATCATATCTTGTGTTGCTTCCGATAGCTACCAAATCACAGGCCCACTTTGAAGACTCGTACGGCATTAAGCTACAATACGAGCAAATCAATACACATAAAATGCATAAGATCAACGTCTAGCAGGAATAAAAGGAGACATACCTTCTAATTCCTTGCCAATCTTCTATGTCGAACACTGATTTCTCTGCTGTCAATGAACTTGTCCAAATTACACGACCTTCGCCGCTAATATGTAGCAGAGATTCGAGCTCTCTTGCCTAAATCAAATCTAATTTGGTAAGCGATACTCGCAATTCATCGAAAAGAAAATACTGGTGAAGACTTCATGATAGTACCATGATGTAGTGGCCAAATACGTTTGCTGCAAAAACGTTCCCCATCCCATCAGCGTTGATTTCTCCTACAATCTGTACTGTAGCATCAGATCTCTCCATAAACCCAACAGGGCTGGCAAGGAACTGCCATACGACTTGACTCCAGTTGATACCGCTGGTGCTTAGAATACCAGCATTACAAAATATATAATCAATATGCGAGTAACTGTGGTACGATTGTCAAATTAACATATGCGTTAGACCTATGATGCTGGCACGACTTTCGGTATAGATACTGCATAGAGTAATAGACATCACAAACCTGTCTTTTACAGCTTTGCAAAAATCAAAAACAGAGATCGTACTACCAACGTCCACGAGCTTGATATCGATATTGGCTTCAGGGAATTCAGCGAGAAGAGATTTCCGGGCATTACTTGCACGAGTATGATTGCGACAAGCCATCACAATTGAAATGTGTTTGTCTTCCTGTAATAGCCGTTGGATAATGCCGAAGCCGACGCCAGCATTGGCACCAGTAATAATAGCGACCTTAGAATGCTCTTTCATTGTCATCTTTGAATCTTCCAATAAAAAAAAAGGGGTGGGGTGTCACAGCACATGAAGAATTTAAATCTCGGAAATCGAATTCTGCGAGGTCAGCACACTCTTTCCTTTTTTTACGCTTCGACTGACATGGCACCTGCAAGACAACAAGTAAGGGATCACATAGTCATCTACTTTAGATTGAACGCTAATTTGTCATAGGTTGATAAAGCCACTCTTGATGAATACTTGAAAGAAAGAAGACCTGAAGGAGGAACCTATAATATCTGGCATAATCGATGGAAGGGCCTGGAGAGAGATTGGAGTAAAAAAGGGTAAGCACGCACACGTACCCATCTACGCAGTCTACGCGAAGATCTATATCGCTCAAACGGCTTTTTAATATTGTTTTCTACAGTGTACGTGCGAAGTTTAAGTGCGATGTTGCTCGTGACTCAGGTGACACTGTTGGTACAAACAATCGCAACGCGTACTTTTGCCTTTTTTTCGCCAAAGGCATGTGTGCTCAAGGTGCTCAGTGTTCCATGTTGCATCGAATCCCAAATGAAAGTGACGAGGTTGAGACGACAATTGACTGTTTTGGACGCGATAAATTTATGTAAGCTTGTTGGGGCTGAGAGATGAAAAAGAGCAGTGCATAAGCGATCTGTGCGTATCCCCGTGTGTATTGATATTTCGGTTCCTCGTTCAAGGGAATTTCGACAAGATATGGGTGGTGTTGGCTCGTTTAATACACAAAACAAGACACTTTATGTCGGCCGGATTGCGTCGACCGGGAACATGCGTGATGTTGTAATAAAACATTTTGCCCCGTTTGGTGAATTGGAGAGAGGTACTACTTTTATATTTGATACACACGTCTGGTATGTTTTGATGTGCATACTCACCGGTCCATTATATAACTATTATAGTTAAGCTGTTACGGCACAGAGGTGTAGCTTTCGTCGCGTATAAATCCAGAAACAATGCAGAATTCGCAAGAGAGGCAATGATGAACCAAGGGTTAGATAATAACGAAATTATCAATGTGCGGTAGGCAAACAATATTCTGTTTGAATCTTACTACGTGAATTAAAGGAGATAGTTGGTTACTAATTGTACATTGTTCCAGATGGGCAACTGCAGAGCAATCTACGATGAAGGGAGATGAAGAGAGAGGTGCAGCCGGAAAAGACCAACAAGGATTTGATCCTAGACAATTCTACGAGCGACAAAACGCAGAATCAGAATTGCCTGCTGAATACACCCAAATCAAACGAGAGGTTGACGAAGACGGTTTTAGAGAAATGGAATTGAAGGCCAAGCGTCAAAGAATCGAGCAACAAACCCATGATTATTATGCCGATGCATCGTCAGCACAGGCGATATATGGTTACACACAGCAGACACAGCAACCACCGCAGCAGTCTAACCCCAAGTCTGCTGGCATCATTCCCCAGAACGTATTAAGCTCACTCAAAACGTTAAAAAGCCCAAAATCCGATGCTGCTGCACCGTCAGCATCACCGTCATCCGCAGCACAACAGTCATCGTCAAGTCAGCAACAAGCAGTCAACCCGGGAGGTCTGGGCAATCTTGCATCCTATGGAAGTGATAGCGAAGACGAAGACTACTAGATAAATAAACTCTTTATGCCGATGTTTGCAAAAGTGCACGACTAATAAGATTAATTGGGGATGGACCTCATGATGTAACACGCTGGAACATGTGGTCCATACATAATAAACGATATGACACGGATGTTCAGTGAAGCAGATGCATATGTATCATCGTTGTTCTTTCGTATGAATCTTGATTGAGTTTTTTCTGCTGCCTGGTCTCTAAAATACTGAAAACGTTGTGTATGAACAAGTTGCAGAATACGTATAAAGAGTTTAAGCTCTAGACTTCTTTTGATTACTTACTCTCAAATTCCATGGTCATAAAATAAGTCGTGTTTCAATGCGAGAATAGAATCGTGTATGATGTGTTGCATGCTTCTGGGAAGTTATCATGGGTAATCAATGAGTATATGGCCACGAATATGAATACTTGACTTTGAACGTCACTCCAGATATCCTTAGTATAAACACCGCAGGTGTGTTTTCTTCAAAGTACACTTTGAACTTTGCAGATAGAAACCCGATAGCTCTATAGATAGATGAACCACTATCGGAAGCTTCTCTAGACCGCCTTTGTATAAACTATCTGGGTTTATTTTATCATACACGTACCGGCTTGGATGGCCAGATATTCCTCTACTATCCATGTGCTGTTCGATTCTTTAGAATAGAGTCGGCTTGTACGATAGCAAATATGAAGACGATTATAGACTTGTTTATACTCATTTGTATTGAACAACATCAACGCGCTTTTTTATTGCCAAAGATTGCTTCAAATATTACAGTATTGTAATGGTGAAGATATTTCCAAGGCGGCTTTTGATACGGATACCCCCTTCTATTCTTAACCCTCATCAGGTTACACACATCCTATATATATACTTGTGGGGGTGTCCGCAAGGTTATGTATACCCAAGTGGTTTGTTCTTTTATTTCCTATACTATATAATGGGATATCATACATAGAGAAATTACTAAAAAGAAAGAACTCTGCATGCACAGTACGGATGACTAAGCACTGTCAATGTCAGAGCAACGCAGCAGTACCGACAGAAATGATGGCAAAAGTTTAAATATGCAACGTGCTCGAACTCAAAACGGCACGATATAGAATGGAGCATGGCAGTAGTACATGAGCTTTGGTTGCAGCTTGTCAATGGTAAAAATAGAGCAGCCTTATTCGGTGTAGGTGAAAATAGATTGATCTTGAGATTTTTATCATAGGGTTTGTGAGCTAACAATGGATAATATGGTTGTTGACGGCTGGCAGCTTATGGAAGTATTATATCGAAGGAGAAAGATGGGGGTTTACTGAAGCTAAGAGCATCCTCAGCACCTCGCCAAATTTCATACCAACGATGGAGATAGTGTATGTGCTTATAAAGAATCCGTTACTTTGTATAATATCATAGCTAAATTTTATCACAACACGACCCTTAAAAGAGCGGGCAGCGGCTCTGCTAGGATAACATGGTGGCAACATGAAAACAATTATTACTTGGCGAGGTTGTTCGGGATGCTAACTGATGGTAGTGTGTCGTATCCCGCGTCATGGACCTCCTTCACAAATAGGAGCAATGATCGTCCGGAATGGCCTTGTTTATCCTCTTCAAGGTCGTCAGTTGGTTTTAAGTCTTCCATGCATGTTCTGTGTGATCCAGAGATATCCGACCTAATTTTTGGTTAGAGAAAGAGTCAATGTGTACCAAACTAATAGGGTATCGCGGTAAGCGTTGTCTATAGTACCTTTGGCGGCTAGAAAAGGTCCATCACCTTTGACAATTCGTACTGTATGATCGATCACGCTTGATGGAAATTTGGCTTCGGTAATTAGCTCAAGGACGAAATGGCATCTACAATGCCCACAAGTGAATATCGGTATCTACAGTATGAGAAAAGAATGGTGATGCTAGCTTACTTTTATTTACACATTGTTTTCTTCCGCTGTCGCGAAATTAAGCTGTTTTATTACCTATGGTGTTAACAGCACACTAGGATCCTTTGATTCTATGTAACCAGGGCCGAAATGATTTCGAGACGATACCAGTTCCGATTTTTTGACTCTGATGCGGATCCCTGATGAAGATGCTGTTGTGGTTGTTTATGATAATAAAAGAGGAAGTCCTTATGCCGCCTGAAGCAGGTGCTGACGTTAATGATTTAGAAACAGAGGATCTCGAAGGAGAAGCAGAAAACGGAATGTAAAACTCATGAGTGCTGGCGAGGTCGGCTGGAGGAGGTTTGCTAGATCTAGCTGCTTTGATGACGCGCAGCATCGTGTGTTTGACTTGTAGAAGAATATCCAATATCGGTAATACATTATCTGTGAATGCATCGATATCGGTAGTTACGTGGTATTTCGGCAGGCGCGTTAGACGACAGACACTGCGCCCAGGGCAATCCATGAATAATAATGAGATTGAAAATCCTGAAATTTATAAAGGTGTCAGTAAACTATCTCTTTCTGAAAATGACAAACAGCCATGTAGTTTACCCATCATTATGAAGCCGAATGTTATCACGTCTTGCTTGGTGCCCGTGTATTTCTTCGCCAAGCTGACAAACATGTCGCGCAGTGTCTTCGGGCATTTCAACTGGCTTTCATGCATCTCTTTCGTGCCCCTTTCACCTTCGCTTTTGCGACCGGCCTCACCACAAGCGATTTCTACGCCATCGTAGACAAATCGGAGATCCACGCGTGTCCTATGCAGCTTTCTTTCTTTTAGAGTTCTTTTCATATTTCTGCCTTCGCTGGTTGCCAGGGCTTCTTTGTTCTCCGCTATAAACCATATAAACCAGTGTCAGCAAAAGATAATATTATCAGATGTAGATTGAGTTAAGATAAGAAGAGATCATAGGTACCTGTGGACATCGATTTTTGTATCATCGTACAGATACCGGATGACCGACCATACTCGGCTCAAGATATCATCCTCTGATGTACCTGCCTTTATTAAGAAATTTGATCGATAGTTGCTGGCCAAGTTCATGACTGACTGGCGTAGCCAGGTGATGTCGTACTTTTCTTCGTCAGTGTATGGGGCGTGCCTTGTCAGATGCATCATTATTTCATTGTATGTTTTCTGTACAGTAAATAGTGTCCCAATGAATAAATCCATGATAAGGAGCTTGCACTATCACTGCTTACAACAATATAACACTGTGATTGGAAGCCATAGCAAAAAGAAACCCGTACCTTATCCTTTAACGAGCGGATATACGAAATGACGTCTTCGTCTTCAACAGATGCTATCTTGGGCAGGGAATGAGTTCTGATGTATTTCAAATCTTCATCGCTGAAGACATTTTCCCAGCAGCTATCGTTTGTGTCGAGAATGTAACTATGGCCAGCGCTATAACTCGGTTAGTTTTTGCCATCTATTATATCTAAATAATCATGATGTTTTTAAACGATAGTGCTTACTGCTGAAAGTCCAGTGTGCTGCAATAATTAACCATCTCATTTTCGACACAAGCGCCAGATGGCAGCACCCACTTGTCTTGCATCTTCCGATGTGCCTCTCGCATTTGCACAAGAAACCGACATGATTTTGTAGCATCATCGGTTGCAGGACCGACAGCAGCGACAGCAACGGGGGCATTTAGGTACAGGAACTCATAAACGCTACCCCAGTCTGGCGTACCAAGTACCTGATTGACGATATAAACATAATGAATAAGCTTTGCTGTTGAGATAAAAGAAAACGAGAAAATGCCTACTTGACGTTTCAAGTCTCTTGACACTTTGTGAGAAAGCCCAGTCCAGTATTGTTTGACATTACTGTTGGCACATCGAAGTCTTGCTTTATTTTCTCTGACAAAATCCTCAAGCGTAGCATTTTCGTTATTGTCAAAGTACTCAATTAGAACTATACGTATCAAGTCAGTAATATGGTCGAAAATTACCACTTGTTGTTTCCTTACAGTGGTTGTTGGCTTCGTTGGGTGCTACGTGCAATGCACTTTCTGCTGGGACAACTGCAGGTGAAGGTATGCGGAACGCCCAACAGAGGTTTTCCCTCTTTACTTTCATCCCAATCTTCTCATAGGACCGCTACCGTTGCTTGTCTGCGGAAATGTCCGAGTGATCGTCGTGCACGCTTTGTATCTTTATGTTCTTAGTCTCTACACGGTGTGAGCAGTTTACGTTGAATTACCACCCTTCGTCACTCCATCCTAACACTACTCGACCTCCCTCAAGTGATACAACCACTACGCTTTATTGACAGAAATATGGCTCTTTTGAATAACAAATTTCAAGAAGCTGAGGTTACCAAGGTAAATGCAAGTGTATAGAAAGAACTTTCTAGGAGCAAGGGGTATAGCTGGAGGAAACAGGGTAACAATGCCGTGGAGTCAACTAACTAGGAGAAGAGGGGGGGTGAGAGAGAAGCATGGTATATATAAATAGGATGATGTTGCTTTTTATTCGATGTTACTCTTTTTGTAGAAGCTAAAGACTCAAAACGGGTGTGATTGCTACTGGATGAACGAAGTTGTCATTATACTAGAGACGTGATGACTTGAAAAGCTGTTAAACACGGGTGGAGCTGTAAAGATGTGTCTTCTTAGTAATGAAAACTGTCAAGTGGCTGGCATGACCGAGGACAAGGATCGACACTATATATGTGCCTGGAGCATTGTCTAAGGAGCAGCGCGATAGCAGAGGTAAAAAGCGGGTGGAGCTTTTTTGTGATTGTAAGACTTTGATGCTTCATCGAACTGATATGTTTATTTATTCATGCCGTTTTTACAGGAAAGGAAATGGTTGTGTTACAAAGCATATAATATCTTTTATAATAAATAGTATGTCCGTCCCCGAAAATCACGTTTGGTTGCAATAGGACAGTTGCCACGGGGCACACTTTTCCAAAGTCAAGGCCCATAGTATCCTCATAATTTTGTGGTTAATCAACACTCGTCTGGATGCATATCTCCTCTGGTTTTGTGCCTGCTTTCTTTCAGATACATGGCTTTCTTGCTTGTTGTTCCCTTGTGGACCCCCCATCATTGTATGATTGGTGCAGTGTAGCTCCATCCGTCATGATAGACGGTCGGGGAGTGTAGTTGAGGTTATCCATCGCAGCCGTCTTTGGCGATTATATTGACTTGCGTCGCTTTAGTCTGCCAATCTGTCGACCATTTCGGTCATATCCCACTCTGGCCTGGTACCATATATCAAACAATGCCGAGCCGCGATATTGGCTATGTCTTCTACCAGCATAGCACGCTTTATATGTAGTATACACATATCTCAGTTATTAAGAATAGGCGACCGCGGTGAAAAGTAAAAGGAGATTAAAGCTACCTACCGCCAAATCATTTACTCGAACTCAATTATTGTGAAGCAGTGCAATACGCATATCGACGTCACTTTTCTGCTGGGTCGATTCCAAGAAGTGGCCGATGTTCGCTAACAGCTGGCAATCTAAGAACGAAATGTCGAATTGTAAGTGATTATGTGAAACGGGCCAAATATATGAGCTGGCTGAGAGGCAACTCATTTCCGGACTATACTTTTTCTGTCCTACATAAAGGTACAAGCCGTCTTCGCAAATATAGCTTTATTTACGCGATGGTCATACTCGTTGAGGCTAGACTGATTAGTGCTAGAATCGTTTGTAGTGGATGGCACCAAACAGAGAAATAGAGACACATAGACTGCAAGCTAAAAGCCCTCGCATTACACGTGTATGCTTGCCGTGGAACTAAGATGGTCGATCGCGCCACAATGCTGCTCCACAAAGGCAACAGAACCACGTTTCAGATTGGGAACAGTGATAAAACCTGTTGCATGTAAAAATAGTATAAAAGGTAAAACATCAACTATACAAAATCTCATGAGGATATGTAAGCACATTAGCTGTTTCGCACACAAAGTATTTTTTGAGAAGGTGACATACGAGGATACACAAGCGTGGCAGACAATTGACACTTGGAAAACGCGCACACCGGATTAACCACTTGTAGCAATAGCATGGAGACACACACACATCGACTCACATCTAATATTACAGAGACATAGACAGAAACGCGGAAACGCGGATGTACATGTCAGAACTGAAAGACTTGAGAGTGTGAAAGAGTGATGTCGATCGCTCAACATCTAACAGAAGAAGAGCTGTCTCTGTGATAAACAAATACGACTTCATACTAAAAAACTGCCACTGATACCACCCAAATATATAGCAACATACTACTCAGAATATTTTAGTTTTCTGGAGCTCGTGTAACGTTGTTGTTGTCATAATATCGAAGCGAAGTTAGCCGATGGAAACTAACATATTTATGCAGTACATATCTCAGAGGCAAGGCAACAGAAAAGGAAAATGGGTCATGCTCTATACCAAGAAACAAGACATCGTACCATTTACTATGTAAGTACATACACATGTATTCCAGCTTATGCACGTGGGGCTTCTCACAATTATTGTGATAGAGGTGCAGTTTTATCCCATGTGAACTTCCCAATTCTATCTCGCTTGATCAGTACCTTTGTGAGTTTCAAAGAAATGTGCGATTATGGATGTTTCTTTTATTTAGTCTTCTTTTCTTCACCGTCACTTCCATACAATGTAAGATTGCCTAGCCCTCCCGGATTAGTTGCATGTTGCTGACTTGATGAGGATCGTTGCGCAGGCCTTTTAGCGTTTTGAGTGAGCTTAATACGTTTTAAGGGATGATGCCAGCAGACGTGAAAATGGGTTGCTGCTGTTGCGATGGCAGTGGTTGCTGTGTCTGCTGTGTGTAACCATATATCGCCTGTGCTGACGATGCATCAGCATAATACTGTAATCATGGCTTTGTTGCTCCGTTCTTCAAGACGCTTGGCTTTCGACTCATTTCCTCTAAAACCGTCTTCGTCACACTATAGGAAAGAAAAAACCTTAATATACCTTAATAAACCTAAAAAAACCTAAAACCTGAAAAAACCTGAAACGGGCAAATTAAGGTATATTCAGGTCTTTTTTAAACCTGAAAAAACCTGAAAAAACCTTAATATACCTTAATATACCTTAATATGTGTGGTTTCTCTGATTCGTCTTATTGGTCAGCTGAAGCGTGAAATGCGTTCAACTGTGTTTATGATTGGGTACATACATCGTGTCTTATTGGTCGTTGTACGTATAGCTGTATCCGTTTGGGAGCATCATTGGATACTTCATTAGCTATTCACATTTCTCCATTGGCCTTCTTTCATATTATATATGCAAAAAACTGATCATGATTGGATAATAAAAATATGTTTATTATTAAATTTTGCTTTCTATTATAAAACTTTGAAAAATCATATTTGCATTGTACAGTATACACGCAAAATAAGTGTTCATTTTTAATTAATTGCGACCACTGATATACGAAAAAAATTATTTGATAGGAGATAACTGTATTTTATTCATAGGTCAAAAGTGTGATTAGCATTCTGCTATGATTAGTTGCCACCACCACCACGACCACCACGACCGCGAGCACGACCACCACCACCACGAGCATGGGGGCCACGAGGACCACGAGCACCGACGCAAGAGCCACTGGTGCTCTCAGATACGTCATCAGTAGAGCCATCACACGAACAGGCGCGTTTGCGTGATGTGGTCTCTGTTTCAATCGTGTTAGCATATCGTGGATGCTTGTTTCATGCTATGCAATATGGATCGTTGATCTATTGTTTACCTTGGTGTAATGACAGCAACAAACTTGGCAGTTGTGCCGTTTCTTCATCTTCCGACTCTGACACCATGAGCCGTGGAACGACGTCTGTAGTTGGTGTTGACGGCAATGCTGCGACCTCGTGGTGCTGACGAGTACTGCTTGAATACAACCAATGTGTGAGTATGTACTTGCTATAAAGTATGCCAAATACATTAGCAATGGTAGAGTATATATACCTTTCTTCTGAAGAAACAGATGTTTCCTCTTGTGTAGCGCTTGATGATGTTGATGAGTTATGGTGTCTCAAAACTATAAATGTCCAAAGGTAAGCATTATATATAGGTAAATATACCAGAAATGCTAATACTCCTAGTATGTACTTACTATTCTTTTTGGAGATGCTGCCCTGAGCAACACGTCTTTTGTAGGTTCACTGTAGGAAAATTCTTGTGAATTTTAAATTCTTGTAAACACTAAGTAAAGTAACAAGAATTCTTGTGGATTCTTGTGAATTTAAAGTAGCGATAAAGCGGTCACACGTTCACAAGAAAATCAAAGCAGTCACACGTTCACAAGAAAATCACAAAACGTTTTGTGGAATACCAAAGCGGTCACATGTTCACAAGAGAATCACAAAACGTTTTGTGGAATACCAAAGCGGTCACACGTTCACAAAACATTTTTGTGGAATATTCATTATATAGATTTTAAAAAATAGCTTTATTCAATTACATGATACTAGCTAAGGTTTATTAATTGATGGAATACTGGTCGAGCGTATATAGATGAAAACCACCCCTTTCTCTCTCTATATATATCACATACACTCTCGCTATATATATACGTGTATACAGTGGTCCCCCGCTTTTTGCAGCAGCGGTTTTTGGTGGAAAAAAACTGCAAAAAGTGGGGAACTGCAAAAAGTGAGGATGAGTATGAGATGTTACACAGACTGAGTCTATTATGTCAATCAAGTGTCAATGATAGTAAACCAATTAAAAGTGTCGGTGTTGTACTGAGGCTACTTATAATAAATCAACTCTTATATAAAAGGCTGTCGTCTCATTCTTGATGTTTATATACTGCACTATCAACACCTCCACACCACTATGGTAAAAGCAAAATACCCAAAGCTTACTGATGAGCAAAAGGACGCTATCTATTAACATTACATGTAGATGTCACTGGTTCAAGACTCTGTGGCCCAGGCTCTCGAGTTAATAGCGGAAAATTGCAGGTCCCCATTTTTGGCCTGCAAAATGCAAAAAGTGAGGAAACTGCAATTTTATTAAGTGATGAGCGGGTATGCTCCAAAAAAATCTGCAAAAACTGAGGATCTGCAAAAAGTGGGGCTGCAAAAAGCGGGGGACCACTGTATGTGTGTGTGTTTATACAATAATCAACTTTCTGATACTTTAACTTACCTTTTAATTATGTTTATTTTTGTGGGGGGAGCAGCTCCGAGCCGCTTTGTAGTACGACGTCGTTTGGTAGACTGCGTGGAGGAAGGAGTAGGGGCAGGAGCAGGAAGAAAAGCAGAAGTGGAGACATTAAGAGAAGCAGGAAGAAAAGTAGAAGAGACAGGAAGAGCAGAAGCGGAAACAGGAAGAGAGGCAGAAGAGACAGGAAGAGCAGAAGCGGAAACAGGAAGAGAGGCAGAAGAGACAGGAAGAGCAGAAGAGACAGGAGGAGAAGTAGGAAGAGAAGCAGAAGAGACAGGAAGAGCAGAAGCGGAAACAGGAAGAGAAGCAGAAGAGACAGGAAGAGAAGCAGAAGCCGGTTCTTGTTGTCTACCTGAAAGTTAATATATATACAATTGTGGTTGCTCTAGTGTAGTAGTTATCATACCTCAACTTGCTGGATCTGCCGTGGTTATTCCAGCATTCTTGGACGATGTGGCGAGCTGCCCACTGGTCCTGGCAGACAGCAAAATCAATTCCCTGCTTCTTTGCCAGGTTCGTGAAAAGGCTGATAGCCCAGTTGCTATCCTTGCTTTGCAGCTTAGCAAAGTAGCAGGTCGCGCTGTTGTCAGCACGATCCAGCAATCTCTTCTCCAGAACAACCACAACACGCTCCCGGATGTGCTTGATGTCCATCTAGGCTTTGATCAAAGCACCACCTTCAAACTGGTGGTAGCCTTGAAGGAGAAGGCGCTCGACATCATCCTTGTTAGCTTTCTTCACCATCTTCCCCTTGGTATTTAGAGCCACTGGGTGGGGAATGAGGGAAACCGTCTCAGCAAGTTCTGCTTCATCGACAACTGGCACCTCGACTAGGGATTGCGCCGTTAGCAGTTGGTCGAGCTTCTCCAGAATGATTGCTTGATTCGTCTCTACATTGATAAGACGATGCTCCATACGAGTGAAGACTTGGAGGAAATTGAGGTTAGCGTTGGAAGGTGTTTGGTTAGTGTTCATTTTTTTAAAAAAAAGTTTTTGGGAAGAAGAGAAGAAAGAAAAAAAAATTTGCGAAACTTTCACAGTAATTTAAAAGTATTTGTCACCTTAATTAATCAAGTGGCTATAACATATCGTTCAATTGAGACTTACCTATCATTTCATACTCATCGTCCACTATCCACCATGCCCATATATTGTTGCGATAACTGTGATGAGACCTTTAGGTCTGCAATAAAGTACAAAAACCACGTCAAAGAACATAAGCGGGAACAGTGCCGTAGCAGCAGCAGTTCGCCTCCACCAGTTACTGCGTTGGTGTTAGCACCCGACCTAACGAATGCCGATCCTGGTACCTTGATGGGAAACGCTAATCTCGAGGTCCCTCCCGAGATCATTGCGGCTGATCGCGAAAGTGACAGCGTAGACCACGAGACCAGTGACAACGAAAGCTGTGGCGAAAATAACGACGAAGGTAGCGACGTCGAAGCTATGCTTCCACTTGAGGACGCGCCAACTCGCATTAATGAAGGGGATGTCGAAGAAATCGATGTTTCAAATATCGAGCAGTAAGCCGAAGATAACAGATGGGATCTCGAACTATTGGCGATTGTTCTTAACTACAATCTTCCGAGGGATTGTCATGACAATCTGATTAGCTTTTACAATCGCTTTGTGAAGCACTCTATCGACAGCTTCAGTAAGTAAATGAGTAGTGATCAATGTATATACATGTTAAACATTTTTCGTAGTGGAAAATCGCAACTTTTGAAGACTTGTGTAGCCCATACTTGGCCAGCAAAAGGGCTGGATATATTTGCCCTATCAAGCCGAGGAATCTGGATATATGCGCGGATGGATGTGTTCTTATCACTAGCAGTCAAGACAAGTGCCCAAAGTGCGAGAAGCCTCGTTATTTGGAAAACGGGAAGCCTGCACAGGTCATGAGATATATCCCTATCTCACACCTTCTTGCAAGTTTGTTTGCCACCGCTACGAGTCGCGATACTTTAAGATTTGGCAACAAGAGTGTAGGAGAAGAAGGCGTCACGACTGATATTGTTGATGGGCGTGCCTTCGAAATCTGCCGCCATTTTTTCGATGGAGAGTATGACATTACGCTTGGCTTGTTTGTAGACGGTTTCGTGCCATTCCGTCGAGGCCGTAATAATACAATATCAATGACGATTGTCCACCTTGTAGTCTTCACGCTTCTTCAATCCGAAAGGTATTCTAGTAACGTATAAAGGTTTGATTTGGCACTGATATAAACCAGATACTATATAGATACAAACTGAAGAATATGCTCCAAGTCGCCATTATCCCTGGACCATACAAGCCCAAAGACATTCATAGCTTTTTAAAGCCTTTGATGGATGATCTTCAGGTTTTGGGAACAATTGGAATGCGAGTGCGTTGTCCTGGCATTCCTGCGCCGATACCAGTAAAAGCGCATCTCATGCTTGCATCTGGAGACATACCTGCTGTCACGGATCTTGCATATCACTCAGGACACACTTCGTACTACGGCTGCAGAGTATGTGTTATCTTTGCTACAAGTTGCGTCAGTCCCAGTGGCAATGGCCGAGCAAGATATTTCGTTGGTGGAGCTCAGCTGGACCAAAGCAGAAGCAACCGCGAGTATCTTAACGAAGATACGGTAAATATCTGAACATATTGACTATGATATAGAGGAATACATGCGTTACTTAACAAAAAAAATATACTATCATAGCGACGCGGTTTGTATGGGACACCATTAGCAGCCTTACCGACATTCCATGGTGCATCATTTTTTGGACTTGATGAGATGCATTTAATTGGCCAGAACATCGCACACCAAGTGTACAGATGGATCACGAAAACCTATGCCAATGCACAATTACCATTTGCCTTCAGTGATGCCGCTATCAGACAGATGGGTATAGCTATGTCGGAATCTGTGTCGAGTCTTCCTATAGGATTAGATGGTGCATTATCAGGTAACAGACATACGAATGTGTGCGTGTTTCTCTTTTGCATAACATATCGATATATATACTCCTTTAAGATATCTTTACCTGTCCTGCAAGTGCACATGCAGCTGACTGGATTGATTTCCTGTCACTCGCTCTGCCATCGATAGTGTTTGAGCAGTTGAACGCTGCTGGATGCCAGCACATCGAGCAACTTAATAATCTGGTTATTGCGTGTGCCTTGGCTCTTTCTTGGGATATAACCGACGAGCAGCTTATTGACATGGATAAGTAAGTTACAGTCATTTGATTAACTACTTAACTTAACCAACATTTCTTTTTAGCCGCATCAATTCTTGGCATATGTTCCTCTCTGGTCCCCATATGCCCAATAACATATACACCATCTGCCACTACCTTCTGTGACATGCGCCAGATATCATTCGCATGCTCGGACCTCTCAGATCGATTAGTGCACGTCCCATGGAAAGAGCCGTTGGTAAGTGATGTTTACATGTAACTGTCTACTTCATTTTTAATGGAAACTTGCAGGTGAAGCCAAAAGACGTATACAATCAAGGAAGCTTCCAGGAGTTAATGCCCAGAATGCAAATGTCAAGACTGCCATTATCAGGCTCTTGGGCAGAGTCCTTGATTTTGAGCACTCGACCACTAGCGACGACAATAAGGCGAATGACGTCTTTTATGTTGGTTGCGATAAAAACGGGGTGAATGACTGCGATGATGAGGATGCGCCAGAATTGAGAGGGCCTCGACTGAAAAGGAACGCCAGGTTGACAGACTATAGTCATCTGAGACTTAAGGCTCACCTTAAACAGTATTACAAGAGACTGCGAGCTGGCGCGGAGCAGAATGAGGGAGATAGGATGATGATTGATGGCGAAGATGATGTGATGGGACTCGACGAAGTTGGA